AAAGTTTGTATCCACTAGCTGCTCCTGGGAAACCCTATGAGGCAGTTCTGTTCTGTTCTGCAAGGTTGCTATGAGTCAGAATTGACTTGACTGCAATGGGTTTGGTTTTTGGTTTACTCTGAAACAGCTCTAAGGTGTTGGAAGGTCAGGTGAAGGGTGATCAGCAATGGTGACATGACAGAATAGCATTCAACTGCAAGCATTTGGAGAATTTAGATAGGAAGAAAGGAAGATTGGGCAAGGGAAGCTTTTCAGACAGAGGGAATTTGAGAGCGTTGAGGTGGAAAAGCACCAGGCATGTTTAGGAAACTGAAAATGCTCCTTGATTTGAATAGTAACAAACTGTATATGTAAAGAAGTAGTTAAAGATGAGATAGAAAGGGAGGTTTGAGCTAAATCATAGAGGGCCTTAAAACTGAGCCATAGAATTTGGACTTCATTACAGGTGTCAGGGAGCCATTGGAGCCCTGGTGGCACAGTGGTTAAGAGTTTGGCTGCTAACCCAAGGGTTGGCAGTTCGAATCCACCAACCGCTCCTTGGAAACCCTATGGGGCAGTTTTGCTGCGTCCTACAGAGTCACTATGAGTCGGAATCGGCTCGATGACAATGGTGTTTTTTTTTTGTTTTGTTTTGTTTTTTAATAACGGATGCAGTTGAGATCTTTTCATATACTTATTGCCATTTCGGAGCCACTTGCCAGGGGCGTTAGTCCAAGGGTGCACCAGGTGAAGTGCAGAATGACATTTCGAGATGCCACAAATATGAAAGGCACCTCACTGAGGCAGCAGAACAAGAGGGGGAAAGATGTTTCTGCTGACACCGCTATCAACTCTATTCATCTTGAAATTGGGGGTGAGGGTGCAACTTGGAGATTGCCCCTGGGTGCTCATTACCCCCGCTGTGCCTCTGTGCCATTTGGATGTCTTCTTTTATGTAATGCCTATTCAAATCTTTTACCCATTTTCTATTGAGCTGTCTGTCTTTCTCTCTTATATGTTCTGAATATGGGTCCTTCATTGGATGTATTTATTGCAAATACCTACTTCTGCTGTCTAGGCTTGCCTTTTCAGTCACTAAGTGGTGTCTTTTGATGATTGGAAATTGTTTAATGTAGTACAATTGATTAGTTTATTTCTCTTGTACTAGTTAATGCCTTTTGCGTATTCAAGAAATCTTTGCCTACCTTAAAGTCATGAGGATATTCTTTACTCTTCTGTGTGCTTTATTGTTTTATCTTTTACATTTAGGTCTATAATTCTTCTGAAATTAATTTTCACCTATGGTGTGAAATAAGGATCAAGAATCTTTCTTTTCCAGATGTCGCAAAAAAAGAAAATTACAGACCAATATCTCTTATGAATATAGATGCAAAAATTCTCAAAAAAATTCTAGCCAATAGAATTCAGCATCATATCAAACAAATAATACACCACGACCAAGTAGGATTCATACCAGGTATGCAAGGATGGTTCAACATTAGAAAATCAATCAATGTGTAATCCACCATACAAA